TCAGGCAATTCTCCTGCCTCAGCCTCCTGAGTAGCTGGGATTACAGGCACGCACCACCATGCCCAGCTAATTTTTTGTATTTTTGGTAGAGACAGGGTTTCACCATGTTGACCAGGATGGTCTCGATCTCTTGACCTCGTGATCCACCCGCCTCGGCCTCCCAAAGTGCTGGGATTACAGGCTTGAGCCACCGCGCCTGGCCGGTATGTCCATGTTCTAACCCCCAAGGCCACTGTGACTTTGACCTGACTTGAAAACAGGGTCTTTACAGATGTACTGAAGTCTGCAGACTGGGAAAGGGCTCTGGGTGATCCAGGTGGGCCCTCCCTCCAATGAAATGTCCTTTATAAGGGGCACAGAGAAGAGGAGGTCATGTAAAGATGCAAGTGGAGAGACAGTGACAGGGGCTGCCGGCTGAGACGCAAGGACGCCGGGCGAGGAGCAGGCCAGGTCACCCTCTGGAGGCTGTGGAGGGGCACAGCCCTGGTGATACCCTGACGTTGGACTCTGGCATCCAGGAACATGACAGAAGAAATGTGTGTTGCTTTAAGTCACTAAGCTGGGGCCCTGACATAAGGCGCCCTGTACGGACGTGTGCCTCCGGTCGGACTGATGGTGGTATGTTACTACTGGTCCCTGAAAGGCTTCATTACATCGACTAAGTGGTAATCAGTTACAGCAGTCTACAAAACTAACAAAATAGATATTGCCCTAAGGAAACAGGTGAAAAGGAGAGAAACGACATGCTCAAAAAGAAATGAAGAAATTAATAAAAAAAAAGAGTTGAAAGAAAATAAAAAATTCTTAGCTTGGCAATTCTATATGCATCTTATTACACAATTTTCCTCAAAGAAATTATCATGAATGCCTTGAAAAGATTCATGTAATCACTGCATTATTATTATTGAAAAAATCTGTAGAGACAAGGTCTCACTATGTTGCCCAGGCTGGTCTTGAACTCCTGGCCTCAAGTGATCTGCCCGCCTTGGTCTCCCAAAATGATGAGATTACAGGTGTGAGCCACCACACCAGGTCACTGCATTATTTTTAACAGCCCCCAAACAGAAACATTTTTTTCTGAAAATATAATTGAAAAAAAAAAGTCCTTAAATTGTCATCCATTACTGAATTTGATCTTGGCTTATAAATAAGCTGGGGCCCTGACATAAGGTGCCCTGTACGGACGTGTGCCTCCGGTCGGACTGATGGTGGTATGTTACTACTGGTCCCTGAAAGGCTTCATTACATCGACTAAGATCCTGCTTAACAAATAAAACATGTTCATTAACATGACGGATCGTCACGGGACACGAGGATCTTTAACCTACTTTAATGTATCCAAATGAAGGTAGGGCTTGGCTGGACAGTTTTCTTGGCATGTCTATTTCTGGATTAATACGGTGTCGGTCAGGACAGATCCTTTTGTCTCTGAAAATAAAATGACGAGATTTAAAAATCATAAATAAATAATAACTGTTAATGTGAATTTTACTGCTTTCTTCAGAAAATTATCTGCAACTTAAATCAGAGAACTTTTGTTCCAAACACCCTGTTGAATAAACACATTAAATATTTCAGATGACACTAACAATACATAAATAAATGGAAATGGATTCTACATTTTAATTAACACTGAATAAACTTAATGAGTTACTTCATTATTTCTCTAGCAAACATTTTTTTTTCTTTTAAGAGTTCGGTCTCGCCAGTAATCCCAGCACTTTGGGAGGCCAAGGCTGGTGGATCACGAGGTCAAGAGATCGAGACCATCCTGGTCAACATGGTGAAACCCCGTCTCTACTAAAAATACAAAACATTAGCTGGGCATGGTGGCGCGTGCCTGTAATCCCAGCTACTCAGGAGGCTGAGGCAGGAGAATTGCCTGAACCCAGGAGGCGGAGGTTGCGGTGAGCCGAGATCGCGCCATTGCACTCCAGCCTGGGTAACAAGAGTGAAACTCCGTCTCAAAAAAAAAAAAGTTTGGTCTCACTGTTGCCCAGGCTGGAGTGTGGTGGCACAAGCGTGTCTCACCATAGCCTCTTAACTCCTGGGCTCAAGAGATCCTCCCAGCTCAGCCACCCTATTTCTCTAGACATTCTAAAATGCCCTATGTAAATGAACAAAATATACTTCCAAAATAAAGACTGAATTAGAAATACACTGTCGCAATACACAACAAAGGCCAATCGACCTCAACCTAGAAGCCGTTCCTTAACTACAATGCTACCTCCACATGGAGAAATAGTTGAAATTGCCATTTTAAAAGTCAGTATTTGAGGCCGAGCACAGTGACTCATGCCTGTAATCCCAGCACTTTGGGAGGCCGAGACAGCCAAATCACCTGAGGTCAGGAGTTCAAGACCAGCCTGGCCAACATGGTGAAACCCCATCTCTACTAAAAATACAAAAATTTACCTACATGTAGTGCCTACTACTGTATGTAGTCCCAGCTACTCGGAAGGCTGATACAGGAGAAATGCTTGAACCCAGGAGGCGGAGGCTGCAGTGAGCCAAGATGGTGGCACTGTACTTCAGCCTGGGTGACAGAGCAAGACTCTGTCTCCAAATAAAATAAATAAATAAATAAATAAGTCAGTCCGTCAGTCAGTCAGCCAGCATTTGGCTGGGGACGGTGGTTCATGCCTGTAATCCCAGCACTTTGGGAGGTCAAGTTAGGCGGATCACTTGAGCCCATACTTCATTATTTCTCTAGCAATTTTTTAAGAGTTTGGTCTCACTCTGTTGAGACCAGCTTGGCCAACATGGCAAATCCCATCTCTACTAAAAATACAAAAATTAGCTGGGTGTGGTGGTACACACCTGTGATCCCAGATACAGTACTTGGGAGGCTGTGGCTCAATACCTGCCTGAAGCCGGGAGGCAGAGGTTTTAGGGAGCTGAGATCACTCCACTGCACTCCAGCCTGGATGATAGAGCCAGAATCTTTCTCAAAAAAAAAAAAAAAAAAAGTCGGTATTCTTTAAACATAAATAGAAATGCTGCTAGTAACACATTTAATGTACCATAATTCAAAACCATTAATGTCAACAGTTACCTTCAAATTCAATCCAGCAGCTATGTATCAGATACCCATGCCCCAGCGTGAGCTGTCTGTGTATCAAGCAAGCAGTGGTGTTGTGTCTGGATCATGCAGAGGGACCCCTTGACTGTCAAGGTACCCAAGCGGATACCTTGTTCTGCAAGCTGATTAACACAATCAATGCAGTCCCTAGCAAAATTCCTCAGGGTTTCTGGAAAAACTAACTGGCTCATTCTAAAATGTATGTGGAGGCTGGGTGCAGTGGCTCACGCCTGTAATCCCAGCACTTTAGGAGGCTGAGGCAGCCTCCTGGCCAACATGGTGAAACCCCGTCTCTACCAAAAATACAAAAATTAGCTGGGTGTGGTGGCGGATACCTGTATTCCCAGCTACTTGGGAAGCTGAGGTAGGAGAATTGTTTGAACCCAGGAGACGGAGGGTGCAGTGAACCAAGATCGTGCCACTGCACTCCAGCCTGGGTAACAGAGCAAGACTCCACCTCAAAAAAAATAAAATACAAAAAATAAAATGTATGTGGAGATGCAATGAATTTAAAATAGCCAAACAACCTTGAAGAGGACCAAGCTGGAGGCCTCATACACCAGCTCCTGAGACTTGCTCTAAGAAAGCGTACTGGTATAAAGTTAGACAAACAGACCACTGTAACAGAACTGAGTCCAAAAATAGACCACATATGCCATCACCTGGCTTATGGCAAACACACTAATGCAGTGAGAACCAAATGATGTTTTACATAAATGATCCTGGAGAAAACCATCATCCATATGGAAAAAGCAAACCTTGCCCCCAGATCTCACATTACACATATACTTTTTTTTGGACACAGGGTCCCGTTCTTTTGCCCAGGCTGGAGTGCAGTGGCACAGTGATGACTCACTGCATCCCCGACTTCCAAGGCTCAAGCGATTCTCCTACCCCAGGCTCCTGAGTGGCTGGGACTACAAGCATGTGCCACCACAGCTGGCTAATTTATTTGTTTATATTTTTTAAGGAGACTGGGTCTTCCTGTGTTGCCCAGGCTGGTCTTGAAATCCTGAGCTCAAGTGATCCTCCCACTTTAGCCTCAAAAGGTGATGGGATTATAGGTGTGAGCCACCATACCTGGTCATATATAAAAACTAATTTAATATGAATTATATCTGTGAAAGCTAAAACTACAGAGCTTCTAGAAGTATAGAAGAATGCCTTCATGACCTTGAAATAGACAATTTTTTTTTAGATGGAATTTTTCTCTGTCATCCAGGCTGGAGTGCAGTGTAACAATCTCTCACTCTGCTGCCCAGGCTGGAGTATAGTAGTGCAATCTTGGTTCACAACAACCTCCACTTCCCAGGTTCAAGAGATACTCCTGCCTCAGCCTCCTATGTAGCTGGGATTACAGGCCTGTGCCACCACACCCAGCTAATTTTTGCATTTTTAGTAGAGACAGGGTTTCACCATGTTGGCCAGGCTGGTCTCAAACTCCTGGCTTCAACTGATCTGCCCACCTTGGCCTCCCGAAGTATTGGGATTACAGGCATGAGCCACCATGCCCAGCTGACATAGGCAAATATTTCCTATATAAAAGCACACAAAAAGTAATCTGAAAATACTTCATCAAAATTAAAAATGACTGTTCATCAGCAGAGTGATGAATGCAGCAAACCACCATAGCACATGTATACCTATGTAACAAATCTGCACGTTCTGCACATGTACCCCAGGAATTAAAGTATAAATAAATTTAAAAAAAAAAAAATAAAGAGTGAAAATCCAAGCCATAGCTTGGAGGAGACATTCTCAGTGCACGCATCACACAAAGCACTTGCGTTGAGTATAGATAAGCTACTCCACCCACAAACCAAGAAGAAAAAGATAAGCACTCCATGTCAAAAGACCTCAACAGGCACTTCACAAAAAGAGAATGACCCACTGTCCCACAAGCCGATGAAAAGATATTCAACATCATTAATCATTAGAGAATGCAAATTAACATCAAAATGGTTTACCACTCCACCTCCACCAACAGTAAGCATTGGTGAGGGTGGTGGACAGCTCAGCGTCTCAGACAGCACTAACCAGACCAGAAAATGGCCAGCCGCTTTGGAAGAGTTAAATGCATGCCTACCCCACGACCTGCCACTTCTACTCCGGAGCATCTACCCAAGAGAAATGGGTGCACATTTCCACAAAAGACATGGCCAAACGTGTTCCTAGCAGCTTCAAACATCATAGCCTGCTAGTGGAAACCACTCACATGCTCATCCACAGGAGAATGGATACACACACTGTGATACAGTCATACAACAGAAGACTGAGCTACAAAACAAATCACAGATACACACAAAACAGACCAAAGTCACAGACATGAGGCTGAGAGAAAGAAGCCAGGCATGAAAAACAACAAATCACGATGCCATTTCTATGGCGTTCAAAACCAAGCAAAATTAATCAGCACTGACAGCCCTTCAGAGGGGAGGGCACCAGATGGGGATGAGAGTGAGGGAACCCCAGGGCCGCTCCCTCAGAGCAGGTGGTGGCTTCTACAGATACATGACAATTCACCACACCGCAACAGCTGTGCACTTTACTGCAGATTATAGCTCAGTTTAATAAGAAACAAATCACTGGCTTACTTGCAAAAACCAAAAGCCTTCAGATATGGACAAAGAGGTCTTGTGGCTTTCTTATCTTCTTTGGCTTCCAGAACTCCTGCGGTGAACTCGTACAGCTCTGCGGGGACTTTGGCGTCCGCTCGCTCCAAGTAGCGCAGGATGCCCACTGCATGGCTCGCATCTTTCTCTGTCAGCAGCAAGACAGATTTGGCTTTCTTATCTCCCTGTTCTGCAGGAGAACCCTAAAAAGTGGGGGTGAATAAAGGAAGTGGATCATCTATTCCAGTCTGAATGAGGAAACCTTGTGGACTGAGTTTATCATGACACAGAAGATGCCAGTGGAATATGGAAGAGAATAAAAATTCACCAAACCTGTTCAGTGTGAAAATGATCAGACATGCAATACAGGCGTCCACCAAAAACTTTTGGCGAGGCAGGGAAGCTGAAGTGAATCACACACGTGGCATCAGTGATGGCCAAGAGTGGGACGCAGTCATCTGTGAGGGCTGCAGAGAGGGAGTCCGACAGTGTCACGTGCGCTGAAGTTACCACACTTACTTTAACCAGCAGTTCCCACGGCCACACCGCAGTGCATTTCTGTATCACATTTTACTTTTTTGGATGCAGAGAAACTTCTCCCCCATTTTTTCCCCAAAATGCCGCAGCCCAGTACTTAAAATCCAGAGAAAAGTGGTCTCCTTTTTAGCCTGAAAAATGTCTCTTATTATAAATCCAAGAAGCCCATATGTTTTCCACTTATTCTATGCATTTTGACTTTTCTACTTTTTCAGATGAAGTCTTACTCTGTAGCCCAGGCTGGAGTGCAGTAGCATGATTTTGGCTTACTGCAACCTCCACTTCCCGGTTCAAGCAATTCTCCTGTCTCAGCCTCTCAAGTAGCTGGGACTACAGGTGTGCACCACTGTGTCCAGCTAATTTTTGTATTTTTTTTAGAGATGGGGTTTCACCACGTTGGCCAGGCTAGTCTTGAACTCTTGACCTCATGATCCACCCACCTTGGCTTCCCAAAATGCTGGGATTACAGGCGTGAGCCACTGAGCCCGGCTCCACATTTTGACTTTTATATTTCTAATATTAAATTTAGCAATAATGGATGACTATATATATGTCTCTTTATATACGACAGTGATCCTCAAACTATAACTCTAGGGAGAATATCTAGACTAATGGTGGCTGCCCACTGACCTGAGAGATCACCTCAACATCAAAATCTTAGTGGAGATTTTCATTTTGAAATTAACATTGCTAATAAACTGTCAGTAAACCTGGGTAATAATGAGAAATCTGAAGATGAGATATACAAATGAATTAAAGATAGGATTCCTAGTAGCTCAGCCTTCACCAAACAGAAGTAGAAATTAAAACACTTACCTAATATAATATGAGAGCCAGAACTTAACTTCTTCTTCCATTGTTCTAAAACATTTTGTAAGTTAAAAACCACTTCTTTATGCATCTTCAAGCAAAATATTGAACTGCTTTCTACTACCTAAAGATGAAACCAAAGAAGCCAGGTCGCGGTCAGGGATATAGGCTGGAAGCCGACTGCTCCATCAGTAATTGTCAATGTAAAGCACTTTAAATTATCTGTGAGGGCACTACCTCACTGATCCCGTAATTCTTAAGAATGAATGAGATGATTGGAAACTTAAATATATTTCCAAAACTCAGTAGTTTATGTCTAAAACCTTCCTCAAGTGAAATAAGCAATATTTTGCTAAAAATTTTGCTTGCTTTTAAAATAGCACAGCTATATCTGTGTGTGATGTGTGTGTGTGTATAGGTGTATATGTGTGTGTGTGTGTATATATGTATATATGTGTGTGTATGTGTATATATGTATGTGTGTGTATATATGTGTGTATGTGTGTGTGTATATGTGTATATGGGTGTGTGTGTATATATATGTGTGTATGTGTATATATGTGTGTGTATATGTGTATATGTGTGTGTATGTGTATATATGTGTGTGTATATGTATTTATGTGTATATGTGTATGTGTGTGTATATATGTGTGTGTGTGTATATATGTGTGTGTGTATGTGTGTGTGTATGTGTGTATATGTGTGTGTATGTGTATATGTGTGTGTATATATGTGTGTGTGTATATGTGTGTGTATATATATGTATATATGTGCGTATGTGTGTATACATATGTATATATGTGTATATATGTATATGTGTGTGTATATATATGTGTGTGTGTATATATATGTATATATGTATGTATGTATATGTGTATACATATGTGTGTGTATATATGTATACATATGTGTGTATATGTGTGTGTGTATGTATATATATGTGTGTATGTATATATGTGTGTATATATATGTATATATATATATGCATATACACATATACATCAGATAGAAAGTCCTTGTTGACTGGAGTACCATATAACTATACCTTCTAGCTCATTGTTGCAGAAAGGTAGATGTACTACTAATTCTCATATTTGGTAGTTGGCTTCACTTCTACATTTTAGCACTAATATGTACAAAGTAAAACTGAATACATCTTTAGCCAATTTATTTGATTTTTTTGGCTGTATGTTATCTTTTACTGTTATCTTCTCAATCTTTTTTATTTTTATTTTTTTGGTAGAAAAATGTTGCCCAGGCTGGTCTTGAGCTCTTGGCTTCAAGCAATCTTCCCACCTCAGCCTCCCAAAGGGCTGGGATTTCAGGCAAGAGCCACCTCAATCTTCTTAAACAGAGGGTACAGAAGATGTTTTCATGTTTATAAATTAACACTTTTAATGGTCCACCAAGATGAAACTGTTCTACCCTGGAGAACGCTGATGTAGGGGAAAGGCCCTGCCCACCCACCTGCTTCTGCCCAGCACCAGGCCTCCAGCCTCCATGCTCAGTGAGCAACCCCCCACCTCTTCTGATTGATGTTAAATTTGTAAAACTGTACTTTCCTGCCACACAGTCAACTACCCCAGTAATTTTGTGATGACATGAGAGTCAACCAGTTGAAACAAACAGAACATTTTTATATGGGGATGGGCTCACCTTACACACTATTTCTGTTTCAGCTACAGAGCAGGTGAAGATCAAGGTCTTTTGTGCCTGACTTGGAATGAAATCAAGAGCTTGGAGTAAAGTAGAGGTTTTTTCACATTCTAGGCAAAGATGGACTACCTGGTAATGAAGTACAGAAACAGTGTGACTTTTTAATGCCCTAGGTGCTCCAGATCCACTTTCCATAGCTGTTGGGATTTTAATAGAAAAGAATATATAGTAAATCAATAGAAATTTAAATATTCAACTATAATTGTATTTCATTCATAATTTATATATAAAATCAAAGCTGTAATTGTTTAATATTAAGCTATGAAATAAAAGTTGCTGGTGTTCATCAGCCCTCCAACAACACACATGCACACACAATTACCTGTTGGACGTTGCCATAGAGAGCAGCCTCTTCCATGGCTGTGATCACGATGTAGGGATCATTCATGAACTCCTTGATGAGATGTTCTATATGTTTGTTCCAATGAACTCCAACTGCAACAATCTGATGTGGTGCAGATTCCCTTCCTTCAACTTCAATATTTTTTTTAAAGTTATCTAATATAGCAAACATCTGAAAAAATAGTATGATTCATTTCATTTATACTTCAGAAGAGTAAGAACTAGTGTGGCAGAACATAAAATGTAAGGGATTGTATATTTTCTGTTTTCAGAGTGGGGAAAGTCTTTCAGAAACAAAAGGAAAAGGTCAGGCATGGGGGCTCATGCCTATAATCCCAGCACTTTTGGAGGTTGAGGTGGATGGATCACCTGAAGTCAGGAGTTCGAGACCAGCCTGGCCAACATGGCAAAACTCCATCTCTGCTAAAAGTACAAAAATTAGCTGGGCGTGGTGGTAGATGCCTGCAATCCCAGCTACTTGGGAAGTTGAGGACAGAGAATCGCTTGAACCCAGAAGGTGGAGGTTGCAGTGAGCCAAGATCACGCCATTGCACTCCAGCCTGGGCTACAAGAATGAAACTCCATCTCAAAAATAAAAAATAAACTCACGCCTGTAATCCCAGCACTCTGGGAGGCCGAGGTGGGTGGATCACGAGGTCAAGAGATCGAGACCATCCTGGTCAACATGGTGAAACCCCGTCTCTACTAAAAATACAAAAAATTAGCTGGGCATGGTGGCGCGTGCCTGTAATCCCAGCTACTCAGGAGGCTGAGGCAGGAGAATTGCCTGAACCCAGGAGGCGGAGGTTGCAGTGAGCCGAGATCGCGCCATTGCACTCCAGCCTGGGTAACAAGAGCGAAACTCCGTCTCAAAAAAAAATAATAATAAATAATTTAAAAAAATAAAAAATAAAAGGCAAAAATTAAATAGGAGAAAATGTTAAGTTTAAAGTCAACAAATATCCTACAATCTCCATTATAAACAAAATTAAAGCACAAGCAACATCTTGGTGAATATGTATAACAAGCTAATAAGAGATTAACATTTTCGAATAAAAACCTTTAAAAACTGATCAGTAAAAGATGATCCTCCCAACAGAAAATAAGGAAATGAATAAGCAACTCAGAGTGGAGATAAATGATCGAAATGAATTAACTGAAAACTTAAAAAGTAATCAATGAAATGTAAGTTAGGTTGACAAGATCGCACTGTTGGCCAATTAGACTGTAAGAGAAACCTGGGCCAAGCCTGCTCTCGAAGGGATGTGGAGAGCCTGGCATGTGGCTGACGGGAGTGCAGGTCAGGTCATGCCTTCAGAAAGGACATTGCACAGAGCAGTATGCCTAGACATTAGTTTTTGTTTGTTTGTTTGTTTTTAAGACAGAGTGTTAAAAACTCCATTCTGTTGTCAGGATGGAGTGCAATGGCGAGATCTCGGCTCACTGCAACTGCCGTCTCCCGGGTTCAAGCGATTCTCCTGCCTCAGCCTTCCAAGTAGCTGGGACTACAGGCATGCACCTCTTCGCTCACCTAATTTTTGTATTTTTAGTAGAGTGGGGTTTCACCATGTTGGCCAGGATGGTCTTAATCTCTTGACCTCGCGATCCACCCACCTCGGCCTCCCAAAGTGCTGGGATTACAGGCGTGAGCCACCACGCCCGGCCTAGATACTAGTTTTATGAAAATCAGAACCTGAGATTTCAGATGAGTTCAGGAACCCTGCATAGCCCCATAGTCAGTAACAAAGACTGGATTCAAAGCTGAGGCCAGCGTTACTCCCGGGTGCACACACTTGGTGATCGCGTGACACTGCTTCCAAGAAAAGCCTTACAAGAGCTCACAGCCTCTGACCCATGAATCCCTTCCTAGGAATTCATCCTAAAGGAAACAAGCGCAAAAAACATTTATGTTCTTACGAGTCAACAGGAAGTTGGGCAATTAAAAAAAAATTCATGTTCCGTAGCCACACACAGATACAAATTATGTCCAATGTCCAAAATCAAGACAGTTTTAAAACAAACTCTGTGATGTCCACAGAACTGAATACCATATGGCCAATAGCCACCAGGCTGTGGAACAGGAAGCGGTGGCCCTCATGCTGCTGCGCCCTGCACAATGCGGGCTACAAAACAGCACCCTGATCTTTGATTAACTGTGTCTATCAACAAACACAAGAATTCAAAGAAAAAGAAGCCAGTACTCCAAAACAGGAAGAAGGATCCCTTCTACGACTATGGCTGTGGGGACTGGGTTTTTCAAGTGCTCTTCTCCAAGTCTTAAATTTTCTAAATAAAAATCATTGCTTCTGTAATCAGAAAAATTTTAAGCATTTTAAGAAATCACTCAGGGAAAGAATGTTTGCTCTTCAGAAAGAATTTTAACATTGGGAAGGAAATTTCAGATAACTATTCTTTCTTCTGAATTACAGAAATTAAAGCAAGAAAAAGTTTTAGATTCACCAACGTATGCCCCAACCAGACTCTTTTCCTTCTTCTTGCCAGCAGTTAGCACGTTAATCACATCTCTCTTCTGAGCAATGAGGACCTTAAGCCACACTCACCTGTTCGTTGGCTTCCAAGAATAGCACCTCCACCTCATCCAGGACCAGGTGGCAGAGCCTGAGGAATAGCAGGCTCTGACAGGCGAGAAGCCTCAGCAGGCTGTGTGGGGTGGTAACAATCACATCACCTGCGTTTAAAAGAAAAAGTGAACATTTTCAATTTTCCACAGGTTGTTCCAAGATTTCCTCTGCTAACAGTCCACATACTTTCTAGAAAGGCCTTCCAATGAAGCAAAACACTGTTTCTGTCCTCAGGTGGGTGGGTTTTAGTCAACACCATGTGCCCAGCATCTAACAAACAGCTTAAGTGTTCAGTAAATAGTTGATAAATGAATGAAGTGACATAGTTTTCTCAGTGAAGTAGACGTCAGTCAAGATCAAACTTTCATAATCAATATTGTGGGGAGCGGACATGCAGGTCTGGACTAGTGACTGTGAGTGCGTTAAGCCACAAAAGGCCACAAGCCACATAACTGCGGACACAGGCCTGCCTGGCCAGGCTCCACTGTCTTCTGTAGAGAAACCCAGCTGCTTGAAAAGGATACTTACAGCCCTTTGGAAGCTTTGTTTTTTTGGCTTCCTCTTTGTGGAGCCCAATTGTTAATAGCACAGGATGAAGAGGCCTGGAGGACATGCTGTATTCTCCCAATAATTCAAAAATAAATTGGGCCTTCTTCCATCCAGGGCACACAATGACTGCGAGAGGCTGCAAAGACACATTCAAATGACTCTAGACAGTAGTTAGGAATTCAGCATCCACATGTGAAACATCAAGAACATCTCTTTGTACGGAAGCAGCGCTCCCTAAGTTTCTGCTATCATCATCATATAGGTCAGAAAAGTTACAGTATAATTTCATTAAAATAGATTTAGACACAGGCTGGGTGTGCTGGCTCATTCCTGTAATCCCAGCACTTTGGGAGGCAGAGGAGGGTGGATCACAAGGTCAGGAGATCTAGACCATCCTGGCGAACATGGTGGAGTCAAACCCTGTCTCTATTAAAACTACAAAAAATTAGCTGGGCCTGGTGGCATGCGCCTGTAGTACCAGCTGCTCAGGAGGCTGAGGTAGGAGAATCGCTTAAACCTGGGAGGTAGAGGTTGCAGTGAGCAGAGATAGCGCCACTGCACTCCAACCTGGGTGACAGAGCAAGACTCCGTCTCAAAAAAAAAAAAAAAATACGACTCAATGTGTCTAAATCTATTTAGATTGAGACTCTCAGAAAAATATGACTCAATGTGTCTAAATCTATTTAGACACATTGAGTCATATTTTTCTGAGAGTCTCAATGAAGTACATCACAAGTATTCATTTATTTAGCTCTTAAAACACTCTCATGGGGCAGAGGCTATCACTGCTGCACTTAGGTGAGGAATTTGAGGCACAGAGAGGTGAAGTCAGTTGCCCGAGGTTGCACAGCTAATACATGATAGCAATAGGATTTGAACCCAAGCAGTCTGACTCCAGATCCCCTGCACAGATCCTAAGCACAAGAATGAACTAAATGCCTCCTGAAAGGGGCCTTAAAAAAGACGAACCCTGGCTGGGCGCAGTGGCTCACACCTGTAATCCCAACACTAGGAGGCTGAGGCGGGTGGTTCACCCTAGGTCATGAGTTCGAGACCAGCCTGACCAATATGGTGAAACCCTGTCTCTACTAAAAATATAGAAATTATCCAGTCATGGTAGCGTGTGCCTGTAGTCCCAACTACTCAGAGGGCTGAGACAGGAGAATTGCTTGAACTCGGGACGCAGAGGTTGCAGTGAGCCAAGATCATGCCACTGCACTCCAGCCTGGGTGACAAAGCAAGGCTGTCTCAAAAAAAAAAAAAAAAAAAAAAAGACAAGCTCCTCTTCCTTAGGAGACTATCTTCTGAACCCTGCCCTCTGTGCGCCCACAGGTAACTCAGGAATTTGCATCGCCTGCCAGAAACCTTCCTGGCACACACCCTCCAGTAACCAAAGACAAGCAGAGCCTCCTCTTTCATTCACGCAGATCCAGGTGGGCCCAAATTCCAGGCACAGGCCTGAAAGCTGGTTGACCATAGAGGCATGAGAAAGCTGGGGGCCACAGGGATGAGACCTGGATGTCCCTTTCTGCCCCAACCCAGGGTTTGTCCTCAACACAAGTGGCTTCTCATCAGCAGGGCTCTGCTGCTAACTAATTTGGAAGATAGAAACATATCCATTAATTTGATTAAATCGATTCATAATAACAGATGGAACTTTCTAAAGAGAAATCATGAAACTGCAAGGCATGATTAGAAAAATGAGCTAGTATCTTTTCTAACTGCAACCTATGTTCTTCGTATTGCTGTTTTTCACTGGCAGAGCCCTGTCTGGAGCGCCCTCAGTGCCAGGCCCCAAGAGGCAGGTTTGGGGGAACATTTGGGTTTTAGTGAGAGTTACAGGAAGCGGTGGCCCTCATGCTGCTGATGCCCATGCCCATCAGGCCCCTAACAGCTGCAACCCAGCAGCGCAGGGCCACACCCACTGTCGTTTACCTTCACACTGCTCCTCCCTTTCCCACCACCTCTTTCTTAGTGATATGGTTTGGATCTGCGTCCCTGTCCAAATTTCATGTTGAATTGTCATCTCCAGTATTTGGAGGTGGGGGCTGGTGGGAGGTGACTGGATCATGGTGGCCATTTCTCATGAATGGGTTAGCACCATCCTCTTGCTGCTGTTCTTTGAGATCTAGTGTTTAAAAGTATGTGGCACCTCCCCATCTCCTGCTCCGGCCACGTGTCACACCTGCCCCCCCTTAGACTTCCATCACGATTGTGAGTTTACTGAGGCCTCCACAGAAGCCGAGTAGATGCCAACATCATGCTTCTGCTCCAGCCTGCAGACCCATGAGCCAGTTAAGCCCCTCTTCTTTATAAATTACCCAGCCTCAGGTATTTATAGCAAGGCTAGAACAGACTTAATACAGTTATTCTGAGGTTTCCCCACATGAAAAAAGTTAAGAAGGATTATGAAGCAGGGTGGGGGGCTACGAAATGACTGGCAGAGGCAGTGGAGGCCCTGACTTCAACCCCACTCCTAGCCTTGTCACAGGGAAATTTACCCCAGTAACTCTTGCTGAGCCTCGTTTTCTCCTCTGTGAAATGGGGAGAACAATGCATGGCCTGCCCATCTCATGCACCTGCTGTAATGGTTAGATAGACTTAGGTCTGTGAGAGCATTTTAGAAACGTAATATCCATTTCTTTTTTGTTTTTTTTGAGATGGAGTTTCGCTCTTGTTGCCCAGGCTGGTGTGCAATGGCGTGATCTCAGCTCACTGCAACTTCCACCTCCCAGATTCAAGCGATTCTCCTGCCTCAGCCTCCCAAGTAGCTGGGATTACAGGCAGGTCACCAAGCCCACCTAATTTTTTGTATTTTTAGTAGAGATGGGGTTTCACCATGTTGGCCAGGATGGTCTCGAACTCGTGACCTCAGGTGATCCACCCGCCTCAGCCTCCCGAAGTGCTGGGATTACAGACGTGGGCCACAGTGCTGGGCCTCAATAACCATTTCTAAAAGCCTCAGCCAATGGCTCACAACTGGGGGCTCCAGGTGAGAATCAGTGTGAGAGCATCAGTAATTGGAATGGGGAAAGGACACTTTCTCATAGGACAGTTTCTGGCCTGGAAGTTTGAAAATCAAACTGAATAATGGAACCTGACTTTCCCCAAAGGAGAGGTGTGTAATTTTAAAATAAATATTCAACCGATTTGGTTGTGAGGCAAAACTGTGTTTGACTTACTCCGTTTCTACTTGGTAATGACTTGTAGCAGGCCCCTGTTTGCAAAATTGTCAGCACTGGTGGGAGGTAGAGCAAAGGGTCGCTTTCACAGTGAGAAATGACAACCACGTCACAGCCACGGGCTATGGGAGGCCAAGAGTAAGATTCGGTGTGGCTGGGGCCCGGAAACTTATTTCTTTGAAGAGCCTACAAAACAGCAACAACCAAAAACCAAAATAAGGTAGAGAAATCTAACAACAACTCCATCGCATGGCTCATTTCACCCCAACAAGCACTACCCATCGCCAAACCTGGTATTTCCCAAGCCCTAAGCTGTTACGTTTCCCGGAATCTTTTCTCAGTACCAACCTTCTATTAAAAGACCCTTGCTCTTTCTCCTATTAAGACTTCCAATAAAAGATTCTTGCAGCCAGGTGCGGTGGCTCTTGCCTGGAATCCCAGCACTTTGGGAGGCCGAGGCGGGTGGATCACTTGAGGTCAGGAGATGGAGACCGGCCTGACCAACATAGTGAAACCCCATCTCTACCAAAAATACAAAAATTAGCTGGGTGTGGTGGCGCATGCGTATAATCCCAGCTTCTCCAGAGGCTGAGGCATGAGAATAACTTGAACATGGGAGGTGGAGGTTGCAGTGAGCTGAGATCACATCGCTGCACTCCAGCCTGGATAACAGAGCGAGACTCTGTCTTTAAAAAAAAAAAAAAAAAAAAAAAAAAAAAAAAAAAGATTCTTGTTTTAATTTTCTAAATTAAAAGGATCCAACAGGTGGCCCATTGACAGACACTTAAAGTTCACCAGCCAAGGATGAGGCTTTTCCTCCTCATTCTCCTAACCTGCCAGTCCATCAGCTTCATCTGTAAAGCTTTTTAAAAGGTAAGTTTTTATTTGCTTATTTTTCTATGTAACCGTCACTAAAACCCAAATGTTCCAACACAGTTCTCCACCCACATGTACAGGATCTTCCAAAACGCTGAGCGTTTTGGCACCATGAGCTCTGTGAGTCCTCGAGTCCTGAGCCCTAGCTGCAGTCAGGACCCGTGCGCTGCACCTGGCATTCAGTAACCATCCTGGGATCATCCTTCACCATCACCCTTCCTCTGCAACCCATGTGGTCATCTTTCTCGGGTTACTTCTTTGTTTTGGTAGAGAACATGAAATTTCAGTATCTTCTTAACAAAAGGTAGAAGTGAAGTAAGTTTTTTTGAGACTCTATGTCTGCTAATGTCTTCATTCTACCCTCACACTCCATCCACAGTTTGAGTATGGACCTCTGGTTGGAAAGAGCTTTCCAACAAAAAAAAAAAAAAAAATTTTTTTTTTTTTTTTTTTGAGACAAAGTCTCATTCTGTCATCCAGGCTGGAATGCAATGGTGTGATCTTGGCTCACTGCAACCTCTGCTTCCCAGGTTCAAGTGATTCTCATGCCTCAGCCTCCCAAGCAACTGGGACTACAAGCAGGTATCAACACACTGAGCTAACTTTTTGTATTTTAGTAGAGACAGGGTTTTACCATGTCGCCCAGGCTGGTCTCGAACTCCTGAGCTCAGGCAATCAGTACCTTGGCCTCCCAAAGTATGAGGATTAAAGATGTGAGCCACTGCACCCAGCCTCATCAGAATTTTGACATCAATGCTCATCTGCTGCATTGTGGAGACATCTGAAGCCATTTTGATTCCTGGTCCGGCGTGTAGGACCAGTTTCATCTCTCATAATCTTTGGATCCCTCACCTTACATGCTTCACAAGAACATGTCTAATCTCTTTCTTCGGCAGTTGTGCTGGACCTGTGATGGATAGGCCCTTTTAATCTGAAGATTCTTGTCCATTAGGTCCAGAAAACGTTAATCTTCAGAAAACGTCCTACCGTCTTCTTCACTCTTCCGAGAAATTCCATTTTCAGATACTGGACCTCAAATAGACCCTCAAAAATTTTTCCTCTCATTTCCATCTCTTTGCCTTTTTCTTCTACTTTCTGAGAGTTAGCTTCTCTTTTATATCTCAAACATACTAGTGGTTTTTACATTTTTCATTATTTTGAATTTCCAAGAACCTTTTTTTCTGCCTGTTCCTTTAAAAAATATCCTATTTTAAATATCCCCAGAGAGAAGATATTGCATTCCTTTAACAGTAAACTGTTAGGGATGCAATATCTTCTCTCTGGGGATATTTATTTTCTCTGGGGATATTTATTCTCTAACATTTTCTCCTATTCACTGCATTGCTTGTTTCCTTGAGAGTTTATTTTGTTTTTTTTTTGTTTTTTTGTTTTTCTTTGAGATGGGGTCTTGCTCTGCTGCCCAGGCTGGAGTTCTGTGGTACAATCTCAGCTCACTGCAACCTCTGCCTCCTGGGGGTTCAAGTGATTTTCCTGTCTCAGCCTCCCGAGTAGCTGGGACTTCAGGCACGTGCCACCCACGCATGGCTAATTTTTCTATTTTTAGTAGAGACGAGGTTTCACCATGTTGGCCAGGCTGATCTGAAACTACTGACCTCAGGTGATCTGCCCACCTCAGTTTCCCAAAGTGCTGGATCAGGTGTGAGCCAATGCACCCCGGCCTGGTGGTGGTGTTTTTTTTTTTTTTGTTTTTTGTTTTTTTTTAAGGTGAAGGCTTTCTTCAAATGTCCATGACCCCTAACGTCTGTTCATGGTGGAGAGGAAGACACTGGAGGCTCTGTGGAGTGGGCGACTCTTGTTACCACATGAGTGTCACCTCACCACAGGAAGACAGGGCAGCAAGCAGGCCCTGTTCGTGGGAGAATTTCAAACAGCATCATCTGAAGGTCATTTCTCTAGGGCCATTCAGTTTCCTCAAAAAGAGCCTCCAACCTTGCTGCTGAGAACAACAGAAGCCAGCTGTGGGTGCTCAGGAGCCAGAGCAAGGGGTTCACGCTCCCTTTGCAAAGTGCTCCTTCCCTGCAGAGGCAGCCAGACTCCATCTCCTGCTTTTATCTTCTAAGGCTGTGGAATCTGTCCACTTCTCTCTCATGCTATTTGTCCTGGTAGTTACATCTTCCAATCTTTAAAAAAATTTTTTTAACTTTTTTTAATCAGAAAAAAGTAGATAAACATATATGATCAGTTTTCCACATCTGTAAGGCAATTTTGAAAAGAACAGCTGGGGCGCGCATTACAACTCCCCTGGCAGCCTGCTGCTCCTCCCACAGCCCTGTCCCCAGGCATACTGGAAACCTGACTGCAGAAGGGGCTCACAGTTCCACAGCAGCTGCCTCACAAAACACTCACTCACTCGCTCGCTTGTAAGACGCTAACCTGGACTTAAGAGTAAATGAGAAATTAGGCTGGGCATGGTGGCTCATGCCTGTGATCACACACAGACACACACACACACACACACACACACACACACACACACACACAAAGAGAATTTCAAAAGCAAAGAAATTATACAATGCAACCTTAGAACCATTTAAAAATCTTTCTGTATTAGGAAACGGTGGTGTTTCTTGATAAATGCGGTTTTACGAGCGCTTGTACCTTCTTCAGTTCTGCCGACAGCGGCGACGACTCGATGGTTAAGCAGGGCTCGATCTTGTTACGGAGCACTGCCACAGGTGGCTGCAGGCCCGACTTCAGCTTCTGCAACTGAGAGAACGCGTGCATTAGACAGCCGGTATCTGCCCACAGCGTTAGCACAGGAGAGCAAGAATTTCATGGAAATGAAGGAAATACAGATTTCACTGTAAACACCTGGGTATATACGCTTATTTTAAAAAACATTTCCAAAAGGAAGACCATTTATTACCGCCCCCCCAAAAAATGAAACAATTTCTCAGAAGCAACAATCCATTAGATCGTTTCTAAAAGGATGTCTTCGGGTAGAGGCCCCCATTTAAGGAGTTTCTCCTCTAATCTCAAGTCTGGAGGGAAGAAGGAGAAGGATGCAAAGAATAAGCAATTTTCTCTCTCTTTTTAATTTACTTTTTTAGGGCCTGTAATACCTGCTGGAGATCAGAGATTCCATCAGCCCTCAACGGATCAGGATTTAAAAACTGTAGTAATCTGTAAGATAGTTAAAAGACGAGAGTGAAGAAAAATGTGTTTCTGTTTCCTCAGTAGAGCTATTCTTTCAGTTCTTCCTTGATGGAGGTAGCAGGGACTGCACAGCCAATGGCTCGGCTGTACACCGCTGCCTGTTCTGTTCTGCTTGGTTTGTGAGACATGAGGGCCCGCACCTGTGCCGCCACAACTCTGCCACACAAAGCCCCCCTGAGAGTATCTGTGGGGCCCCAGCCAAGCTCAGGGGCCACTAGTGGACTTCACTATCTTTATTTTATGGATGAGAAAACGAGACCAGATAGGACTTGCCTACAGCCACCTCTGAGAGAAGGAGGAATTTGAAACTGCTCTCCTTTAGATCCAGCCCCACCCTAACATGGGTAAGGCCAGGGACGGTCACAGAGAAGTCACAACCCACAGACATGGTGGGGACGCCAGGATAAAGAGGGTTGGCTACACATATGGCAAACTACACTCTTTCCTAAAGCCCCATTCCCGTAAATAGACTTTTTTCTTTAAGATGAAGTCTTGCTCTGTCACCCAGGCTGGAGTGCAATGGCGCGATCTGAGCTCACTGCAACCTCCGTCTCCTGGGTTCAAGCAATTCTCCTGCCTCGGCCTCCCGAGTAGCTGGGATTACAGGCACCCGCGACCTCACCTGGTGAATTTTTAGTAGAGTCAGGGCTTCGCCATGTTGGCCAGGCTGGTCTCAAACTCCTGATCTCAGGTGACCTGCCAGCCTCGGCTTCCCAAAGTGCTGGGATTACAGGCATGAGCCACTGTGCCCAGCCCTGTAAATGAATTTTTAAACGTAAAAGCCACAAGACCCAACTCCATCAGCTGATGAATGGGTACATGAAATATGCTCCATGCACTCAATGGAACATAAGGCACCATGAAAAGGCATGCTATGCTTGTTTATGATATGGCAGAGGTGAGCCCTGGAAACACGGTGCGCTGTGAAACCAGCGTCACCAAGGCCCACACACCATATGATCCCATCAATATGAAATGTCCTGAACAGGCAAACCCACAGAGACTGAAAGCAGACTGCTGGCTGCCAAAGGACGTGGAGAAAGGAAAATGGAGAGTGGCCACTAATGGATATGGACTTGGGTGGCTGCAAACTGTAGATATACTAAAGACCACTGAGCTGTACACTTGAAAAAAAGGGGACATGAATTATCTCTCAAAAAAGCGGCAGTTTATAGACAATATTCCAAAACAATGTTAGAAGCTAAAAAACAGATGGACAAACTATTAGTAGCCCCAAGACAGCTGAATCTGAGCCAGCCACGGGAGGCCTGACTCTGTCTGCAGAGAACAACCTTCAGAAAGCTTAGGAATTAGGGCCCGGCTTCCTGGCTGCAACGGTGTGGCAGGGGAGGAAACTCTGCATTGCCTTATTGCTGCTCCACACCAGACAGCCACTCACCCCAATCAGAGGAAGCCCAGGGGCTGATTCTCTGGAAAGGATAAAGCAGAACTCTCAGGCTACGAGCTGCCAGCTGCAAACAGAGGTGCTGAACTGAAAAGAGGGAGGCTAAGCAATCACAGGACAGGGAGACCCAGCCTGCACCTTCCACTCAGCCCCCAGGACAGGGGCAGGTCTTCACCACAGTGGGCAGAGATAGGAGAAATCTTCCCTCTGGTATCTGGCCCACCGGAAAGGAAAGACAGAAAGACTTCAGTCTCACAGGCTTGGTACACTCAGAGACCCTCACCGGCTCACTGGGCCTCTACCTTGAAATAAAAGCAGACAATCAAGGACCGCAAGACATCTAAGGAAAGCCTCCAACCTAAAAAGCAAATAATGCACCCTGCAAGAAAAAGAAACAGTGTAGGGAGAAGAAAACTCCGCCACCAAAATCATGAGTCTCCTTAGAGAAATGAGAGAAACCATCATATACGTGAAACAAGGACAACACTATTGGAAAGAGAAAAGAGAACAAAAGGAAAAGCCTTGCAAATTAAAAGTGGGACGTTCGAAATAAAAAACTCAATAAAATGAGAAGAGGGCAAAATTGTAAAAACATTCCAAACTGTCAAGCAGGCCAGGCGTGGTAGCTCATGCCTATAATCCCAACCTTTTGGGACGCCCAGGCAGGCAAATCACTGGAGGTCAGAAGTTTGAGACCAGTCTGGTCAACACAGTGAAACCCAGTCTCCATTAAAAATACAAAAAAGATCAGGTGTAGTGGCAGGCACTTGTAATCCCAGACTGGGGCAGGAGAATCACTTGAACCCAGGAAGCAGAAGTTGCAGTGAGCCAAGATCCCACCACTACACTCCAGCCTGGGTGACAGAGCGAGACTCCATTTCAAAAAAAAAAACATAAAGCAAGAAGACAGATTTAAAAAAAAAAAGAAGAAAAATATATTTTATAAAATTACACGACCAATTCAGGAGGTTAAACATATGAGTCACCGAGGTTCTTAAAAGAAGACAGAGAACATTGAGTGTAAGGGAACAATGAAAAAGTCAAGAGAATTTCCCAGGGGTAAGAGACACGAGACTACACATTGGAAGGGTCCACCAAACAACAAGCATAATAACAGAACTGCACCAAGGCACAACATCAGGAATTTCCAAACACTGGCAACAGAAGAGGAAGCTTCCTATAAGCTTCCAGAGAGAGAGAAAAAAGGAGAGATATATAAATAAATCAGAATAGAGTGGACGTCTTCACAGTAGAAACTAGAAGTAGAAATGTCTTCAAAATTTTTACCCAAACTATTGATCAAGTGTGAAGATAGTCTAAAAGCATTTATGCAAAGTCTCTAAAAAATTTATGTTTTGTGTCTCCCTTCCAAGAAAGCTACAAAAGGATGCTCTCCACCGAAACAAGGGAGTAAACTAAGTAAGAAGATGGACGATCCAGAAAAGAAGGGATTAAATTCAAGAAAGATGCAGGAATCTCAGGATGTTGGTGACAAATATGGGACACATCAGGCACACACCAAAGCAGACGGGAATGGTCTGGAGAGATCTCCAAAGAGTCACAAGTGAGAATCTGAGTTTGACAACAGAGGAGAATTCTAGAGATGAATCTTTAAGACAGATTAAAAATTTAGGAAAGTAAGCCAGGCATGGTGGCACACAATAGTCCCAGCTACTTGAAAGGCTGAGGGAGGAGGACCGCTTGAGGCCAGAAGTTTGATACCAGCCTAGGCAACACAGTGAGACCACATCCAAGAAAAAAAAAAAAAAACTATTAACTTCAGGTAAACCAAAAGGCCATGTGAGAAGAGAAAAGCAGTCATGCTCTGTGACTGCAGGGCTCCGCAGCACTCACCTGCTCACAGCCCGGGGACAATGCACACTCATCTCACTGGATCATGACACAGCCAGAGTGGGGTCATGGGAAGAACAGAAGCATGGGTGTGATTTCAAGAGGGAAGGGGAATGGTTGTACAACACAGCCGCGTCCTCACCGCTCCTGTGTTCTTTGGCAGAAGGCTTGGGTCTAGAAGGACAGCGTCTGACCCTGAACTCAGCAGCCTGTGCGAAGGGCATTTCAGTCCAGGCTTTGAAGTGCACTGCTGTTCAGACTCTGACACTGAAATGGTATCATGAAGAATGCGCATATTTGGGTCAGGCACGGTGGTTCACTCCTGTAATCCCAGCACTTTGGGAGGCTGATCATCTGAGGTCAGGAGTTCAAGACCAGCCTGGCCAATATGGTGAAACCCCATTTCTACTAAAATACAAAAAATAAAAATAAATATTAGCCAGGCGTCATGGCATATGCCTGTAATCCCAGCTACTTGGCTGGCTGATGCATGAGAATCGCTTGAAACTGGAAGGCAGAAAGGCAGAGGTTGCAGTGAGCCAAGATCGCACCACTGCACTCTAGCCTGGGCCACAGAGTGAGACTGTCTAAGAAAAAAAAAGAATGCATGTATTCAGAGAATGTTTCCATCTTCAATCAGTGGGCAGTACAAAGTAGGCTGATGTTAAAATGTTTAAAGGAAGACAACAGAAGAATAAAGAACGAATATCACAGTAGGCATGAGGGACACAGAGGATGGAAAGACGAACTGCAGAGGGGGCTCCAGGGTACGTTAAATATCAGAGATGACATGAGCAGCAAGCAGGCACCACTCCACCCTTCCATGCACAGGACTTCTTAACCAGTCATCAAAGTACTCCCCGCGGCACATATGGCTACAGTGCCAAAGTCCAGACTCCTCCTGAAAATAATGCTCTGAGAGTTACCACACAGAGTTGAGACTCACCCCCCACCCAGCATATTCCCACAGGCTGGGCGGAAGCTGGCACCAGCTTAGAAACACAACCTCAACCCACTCCAGGCTGCCTCGACACCTCCGGAAGCCCTTAGCGAACACAGCAGTTTCTCTTGGATACCCAAAGATTAGGAGAGAGAAATCCGCTAGGAGGGCCCTTAAACCCGGGCGTGGGCCCTGCCACTCCCTGTGCTACCCAAGCATCCGGGATTCCCAAGGGGACGGTGGTATGCGATCCTGGAATGGGCCAGACTGAATCTGGGGTGACCTCTTCTTGAATGTACTGTAACCTTGAGGGTGTCCAAAATGAGTTCTATGAAGGAACGGGCCCGAGGAGAAAGAAACACAACTGCTTGCTGGTACTTACAAGCTTGAGCAATGCCATCAACGAGACAAAAAGACAGGAAAAACAAAGCCACAGGCATCACACAGAGGAGGCTAGTGGCCTCTCTCCTCACACCTGGCCTCTGGCAACAAGCCAAGGTCCCTGTGCCCCTCTGGCCGCATTGTGACAGTCGTTATCATAGTCCCAAGTGAGGTTTGGGGATGCGGCAACGTGGGTCCCTGGCTGGCCATCCTTAGGGAAAGGGTGCCTCTCCTCCAGGCTGCCTTCGCTATCTTGCCAGAAATGACAGCACAGGGTTCCCCAGGCTTTGGATGCAGTGCAACCAAGGCAGGACCTCTGCTTGGTCAAGGGGGTGGGTCCCAGGATCACAAGGTCATCCCTGTGTCCCTAAGGAACTCAAAGCCTTCTTTGCTGTTTAATCTTGAACCACCGCAAAGTTCCCTGAAACCACAGGAGACTGACAGGATAACTGACATTTAATCCATGGATTCTAAGTAAAGGGCATTTTAGCAAAACAGGAGACAAGGCAGAACTTTCTAATATGAAAATAAAAGGGAATGCAATATTCCAGGGTCATCTGGGCACGGTGGCTCATGCCTATGATCCTAACACTTTGGGAGGCCAAGGTGGGCTGATCATAGGAGGTCCAGAGTTCGAGATCAGCCTGGCCAACATGGCAAAACTCTGCCTCTACAAAAAATACAAAAATTAGCTGGACATGGTGGCAGGTGCCTGTAATTCCAGCTACTCAGGAGGCTGAGGCAGGAGAATTGCTTGAACCCAGGAGGTGGAGGTTGCAGTGGGCCGACATCGCGCCACTGCACCCCAGCCTGGGCGACAGAGCAAGACTCTGTCTCAAATTTTAAAAATAAAATAATAATGAAAGAAAGAATATTCCAGAGTTAATTTGCCAGGTTACAATTTAAAATAATAAAGAGGCCAGGTGCGGTGGCTCACACCTGTAATCCCACCACTTTGGGAGGCCGATGTGGGCAGATCACGAGGTCAAGAGATTGAGACCATCCTGGCCAACATGGTGAAACCCCATTTCTACTAAAAATACAAAAATAGCTGTGCATGGTGGTGGCTGGCACCTATAATCCCTGCTACTTGGGAGGCTGAGGCAGGAGAATCACTTGAACCCAGGAGGTGGAGGTTGCAGTGAGCTGAGATGGCACCACTGCACTCCAGCCTAGCAACAGAGCAAGACTGTGTCTCAAAATTAATAATAATAATAATAATAATAAAGAAATAAGCTGCATGGATCATGCAAGGCCTTCTATTCCAAGGAAAATAACCACTGTGACAGCAAAATCTTTGGGTATTAGGGCTGAGGTTGCCCTGGGAACAGGGTGTCAGTCAGGTGCATCAACAGCATTCCCCAGCTCTGTGGGCTCCTGCAAGCCTTCAAAGCCTCAGCTTTGAAATAATGGGTAGTGTCCTGCGGGGTAAGAAGCCCTGGCAGGCCATCAGCGTGGCCTCTGGGAAGCTGGGAGGTCCACATGGCTGCCCAGTCCACACCCCTGCTCCAAGCCCCAAGCAAACCAGTGGATATAGCAGGACCTCCCCACCTCTGACCTGTCTCACACTCTGTCACTCTGAGAGCTCCAGGGCGGCTACAGTTACTTAGAATGTAAAACTGTTTAGGCTAACATAGTAAAAAGTATAAAAATGGCATGAGGCTGGGAGCTGTGGTCATGCCTGCAATCCCAGCACTTTGAAAGGCGGAGCAGGAGAGTCATTTGAGGCCAGGAGTTTGAGACCAGCCTCGGTAACGTAGCAAGATCCCTCCATACAAAAAAATAAAATATTAGCCCAGTATGATGGTGCATGCCTGGGGTCCCAGCTACTTGGGAGCCTGAGGTGGGAGGATCACTTGAGCTCAGGAGGTCAAAGCTGCAGTGAGCTGTGACTGCACCACTGCACTCCAGCCTGGATGACAGAGGAAGGCCTTGTCTCAAAACAAAAATCGGTATGTAAATATTTTGTAGATTACACAAGTATAAAATAAAGGAAAACTGCTCACAGTTTCTCTGGCAGTGCTGCCTCAGAGAACTGGAAAGAAAGCAAAGACCAACCCACAGAACATCAATAGTCCCAAAAGATCAACTGTATCTAATTCAATTTGTGACATGGTTCGCTTCACTAAGACAATCCAGAAGGTGAGGTAGAGAATGACTACTTACACTGGAACAAAGCTTTTAACAGAAAATGTGCCCAAGTGAGATGGAAAAGAAAAAACTAACGTTAAACCCTACAGAAGCTGTACTGTACATTTATTTTTTGATAGGAATGTAGGTTTGAAATTAATAATAAAATATGTAGATTTCTCTTGTTTATAATTTTATTATAATTATTTCAATACACAATTCAGGCCAAGGAAAAAATTCTTACTTCACACAGCCATTCTTCTCATCATATTCTTTCTTCTCAGCTGATCTAAGAGGTTTTGCATTTGGCTTCTGACTTAAATCACTAGAAATTTAAAAAAAAAAATTAATTAAAATTTGTCAACAGCAGCCTGAGTAATGTAATGAGTCCCCATCTCTACAAAAATAAAAAATGCCAGGCATGGTGGTATGTGCCTATAGTCCTAGCAACTAGGGAGGTCAAGGTGGGAGGATCGCTTAAGCTCATGAGTTGGGGCGCTGCAGTGAGCTGTGAGTGTACCACTGCACTCCAGCCTGGGCAACAAGAACAAGACCCTGCCTCTTAAAAAATGAAAATTTATGAACCCATTTACCCCAATGCTGAAAATATCTTTATTTTCTGTATTAAAAATTTAAGAAGCACCACTGAGGAATCGGTTTATCTACATAAGCATGTTTCTGTGAGAAGCAGAGCTTAGTCCTTTAAGTGTCACTTCCGACACTTCTGGTGCCGACCCTGGCCAGGATGGAGCAGGCCCGCCACAGCCTCTTTCTCCTGCTGATCACAGCTAGAGATTCTGGATGAGGCCCCAACAGCAGTGGGGAGAAGTCAAACACTTGAAAAACAGAATCACCAGGACTTTCTTGTTTTTTCCTTCCCGTGTCTTTCTGCGTTGACCTCAGGGTGACTTTGTGGCAGATGCAGATGGCAGAACCTCCGAGAGAGACCTCCCCTTTCAAGCCAGAGAAGTAGGAAGAGGCGCCCTTTAAACCAGAGAGTGTTGGGGATCCCCATCGATTTTCTTTTCCTTCCTCGCCCTGCCCCAAGGCCAGCTCTGATCTTGGAGCTGCACCCCGCAACAGCAACAGCAGTGTGGTGACCTATAACCCTGAGAGAAGACCCACACCTAAATCCAGAGGAACTCAGAGACGGGAGCTGTGGTCCAAAGACTGCGTGAGGAAATCGCTATCTTTTTTCTCCCTTATTGTTTTATTCTCAGGGTGGCCCAATCCCACATTACTGCACAGCAATGCCTCTAAGAGAAACCATCTGGCCAGAGGAACACGGGGAAGGAGCCCCTAGAAACTGGTAACTGTAAGGGAAATTCTGAAAAGAAAGAGCGAGCTGGTTCATGACACAACACAAGCCACTGGCTCCCCCAAAGCTAAGCAGATGAAGAACAGGCACTGAGGCCCCAAAGCCTGCGCTCACATGGCCACCGCCACCCACAGACTGCGAGGCAGAGCATGAGGGCTGGACCTCAGGGAGATACCAACCTCCTGCTAAGACAAACGACACAACCAACACTCGTTAGAGAATGTTAACAGAAACCAGAGTCTCGCAACATAGCATTTAAAATATTCAGCGTGAGTGCAAAGCTACTCAACACACATGGGCCAGGAAAACCAGACTGACTTCCGAGAGAGATGGCAATCAGCAGGCGCCAACCCCAGTAGCTCCGGGTGGCGATCACTGGACGTTCACTCTACATGAAGAAAAGGCAGCACTCCCGACTGGAAACACACAAGTTCTCAGCAAAGAAATATACACTTTTAAAAAAAAAAAAGGAGAATTTTAGAAATAAGAAATATAGGCCAGGCACTATGGCTCACACCCGTAATCCTAACATTTTGGGAGGCCGAGGTGGGAGGATAACTTGGTCTCAGGAGTTGGAGACCAGTAGGAGCAACATAGTGAGACCCCCATCTCTACAAAAAATTTAAATGTTAGCCAGTTGTGGTAGCATATGCCTGTAGTCCCAGCTACTTGGGAGGCCGTGGTAGGAGGATCCCTTAAGCCCAGGAATTCAAGGCTGCAGTGAGCTAGGATTGCTCCACGGCACTTGAGAGCCTTGGTCACAGAGCAAGTCCCTGTCTCAAAAAAAAAAAAAATCTATATATATATGTATAT